GCTTGAACTTTTAATTATAAAATTAGATCAAATAATTATGCAGCATATATATTAATTTTCCGAATTGGGGGTCCGTCTGCTTAAGAACAGCAAAATAAAATTTAAAGACATAATTTATGAAAAAGGATTTTAAAATTTTTACTTAGTACTAAGGAAAATTTTATCAAAAAATATTTTTCTAAAGGAAAAATTTAGAAAAATAATTGTTTAACATTTCTCATTTTTATATAATAAAACAAAACCTTCAGCTTCAATTGTTTGCATAATGCAGAAAACATTAATTTGAGAGCAGATACAATTTTCATTAACTTAGGCTTTATTATGATATAAGCTCTTCGGATAAAGAATCTACTCATTTGTAAATTTATTTATTTTATAGCTTAAACATGCTTTCAATTATTCAAAATGAATGTAAATAAATAACACATTGGGATATTAACATACTCGAAAAAAGGCATTTTTTCAAAATAAACTTTATTTCCAAAAATACTTTGACCAAAGATCAAAAATGTATTGAAAGCTTCAAATATGACGTAATATTCTAAAATTAAGAATTACATAGAAATTTACGCACGGGTTTTATCTTAACGTTGATTTTTAGTAATAGGCAAGAAACATTGACCTACTTATTGCAAATACGTCAGTTGATAACTTTTGTGTGCCTGTCAAAAGCAGTTGAATATTGTCTAACGAACTTTTATTCACAAAAAGCAAAACAAAAAAGAAAAAAAACAGCGCGCAAATGTATGCTTCACTTATTTAATAGAGAGCATAATAAATATTACACAAGCGCAGGTGCTGGCTGGCTGCTTCCTTAAGGACGTTTGTCAGACAAAGCCGCATAAAATCTGCTGCATTTTCAGTGTCAACAGCAGTGGCAGCAACTGGTAGCTGCAACATGTTCAAGGCGCCGACAAATCGGCTGCTCATTGTCGGATAATGGATAATGCAACAAAGTGCGTACATGTTTCAATAAACCCAAGCTGAAGTCCATGTAAAAGGACTCGTTTAAATGGCAGTGAGTGTTGTTGTTTATTTTTTTTTTTAAATACTCTAAAAGAGGTATTAGCAGTTTGTTGAGGAATGTGCACACACTGCGAAACTATATATGAATATTATTTTCGATATATATATATATACTACATATCTTGAACAGGGCATTGAGCTGAGTTGACATAACTGTACGCACGTTATTTCTATATTAACCAGACCCTCAGAAATGGATTCACATCTTATGTTGATGTCGACCGGATCAGTTTTAATAATATGTTTTATATTTTGTTATAGGTTTTTAGGAATGTGTGTTCTTCTAAGGACAATTTAACTATTTTGAAATCTATCTTGAACAAAATAGCTTAAGATTTTACTCAGTAACATTGAGCCCCAATACTATACAGCTCCCACAGGAAATATTAGACAACAAGTTATTTTTTGGAAACAAATTATTTTATCTCTTAAGCACATAATTTACCAAAATTACTATGTCTCCAAAAATGTAGCCAAGCATAAATATAAGCCCTAAAAAATATTACAAAGTCTGATTAGCACTTATCGATCAAAAGTTAAAATCTTTTATTAAATACATTTTTGTTTCTTTGTTTGGAAAAGGCCTATGAACATCAGCTGAGTAAATATATTATATAGGAATAATCAGTTGTACATTGAGTTATTCCCCAAAGTATTATCCAAGACATTATTATTTAGCAGAAAATAAGCTTGGTTAAAAAACGTTTCCTATATGCGCCAGGAATCACAATATATTATGGTTTATATGCCACATGTTAGAGTATTAATTCTTCGACATGCGTATTTTTTGCAAGTATTTTTCATTTTTAAAACAAAAAGCCATTATATAACAGCAGGAACAACGCAATCGCTGGGAATGTAACCCTATAACCTTATTCCCATTAATGCGCTGTGCGTAGCCAGCAATGTTATGTTTTGCTGTGTTGTAATTTCTTGCAGCATTTCTATTAAAGAGTCCGAGGCCCAAGGAGCTGCTTGCCGCAACATGCAGTTAAATAAAAGCGACACAGTCGGAGCTGCCAGTCGGCCAGGCGACAAAAGAAACGCGCCGCAAAGTGCGCGTTTTGTATTACGCGCCAAACAAGACGCAAAACCCTTTCCCTTATGCCCGATTCCTATACCATATCCATGACCATGTCGTTGTCCGTGTGGCCACAAGTCAACGCTTTAAATGCTGCACGCTGTTCCGGTCAAATGCTCCAATGCCAAGGGGCATAACCATAACCACGCCGCCAACATTCTGCGGCTCTGAAGGGCGGGGTCGGCGGTGCAAAAGCGTTTACTCTCGACATATTTAGAAACCAAGTACAATGCAATCCCCTGACCCCCCTTTAACCCCAGACGTATTGCATGTTCTGCTAAATAGTGTTCAAAGGTTGCATTTCGCATATTTCCTGCATTTTAAAAATGATTAAAGCATTTTTTGACTGCTTTAATGTGTAATCGATCGCTTAATCGATTCATCTAATTCTCCTTACTTATTATTCGGTGAACCGAGGAACATGAATGGAATAGCTCTTAAAGCATTTATTGATTGCTTGAAAGAGTTATCGATTACTTATTCGATATTAAATAAATGAATTCTTTGCTGATAAGCATTGGTAAAAGCTATTATTCATATAACATAAACAAGCGTAAATATTTGATAAAGATTACAAGTTAATAAGGCCTAAGGCATTTATTATCGATTACTTATTCGATTAATCGAAATTATTTAATTTATTCTTTGGTGCAAAACATTTAAAAAGGCTAATATTGATTTTACATAAAGAGGCGTAAAGATGTTATTAAGTTTCAGTTTGAATATTTCCTAGAATTTTAACGCTCCTAATTTAATTGCTTAAATGAGTTATCGATTACTCAATCCATAATTCGAAAATATTAAACTTGATCAATATTAGCTTTTATATTGACTTTAAATAAATAGACATAATTAATCTATAAAGGTTTCATTTGGAATACTTCCTGGAACCTAATCACTCTTAAGGCATTGATTGCTTAAAAAAGAACGCAATGTAAACTTAATAAAACAGTAAACATTTTTAAAATTTAAACAAAAAAAAAAGCGATCGATTTCTTATCAGATTATTCTAAAATGTTAAACATATTCTTTGGTGAAAAACATTGAGAAAAGCTAATATTAAGAGTAGATAAATTGGCGTACAATTATATTATTAAGATTTCCTTTTGACTAAATGTGTTATCGATTAATCGAAAATATTAGACCAACTTTGATGTACCGGGCAACATGATAAACATTGATAATAGCTGATATTGATTTTAGATAAGAAAATTCGAATATGACGCAAGTTATTTTAATGCAAAAGAGAAACTAATTCAAATAAGTTGAGATTGCAGATAAAAATGACAGAAATAAACAAAATCCAGCATAAATAATACGTGATGTTATCCCAGTTAGCCAATTACTGTCAGTTAGACAGTAAATCTAGACAAAACAAAATATTATAAGCATACAAATCTGATATGTCACAGTAGTCTGTAAATTACCAACCACAATACAGATATTTCTAACTGCCTGAAATCTAATTATCAGCTGACAATTATTGTAGGACATTTCAATAAAACTTATTTAAAAATCAAACTTCTTAGCAGACTGTTAGTTTTTTTTACCGAAAAAAAATGTCATTCAATAATATAATTGAATCAAATTAAAATAAAACAATTTAATTCAATTAAAATATTTGATCAAAGTTTATCTTGTTGATAACCTATAAAGTTCGGAACTTTTTCTACTTTGAAATATTTTGTTTTCTCATGTAATGTAAATACATGCTTATGTAAATATAGCTGAATTTAAATATAACCTAAAGCAATGAATTTCGTTAGTCATTTTGTTTGTATGCAATTTTGTGGCTTCGATTTATGCTCTTTACCTTACTGAAATTGGTAATAAATAGTCTAATGTATGTAACAGAGAAAAAAGGGATATTTAAGCCCAAAAAGTTTATATCATTTTTCTAGCCGTCTACATGAACATAGAAAACGCGTCGATCTAGTTCTGCTTTTATCCTGCATAACAAACTTGATTACTCCAGTTGATATAGTTTCTGAGATTTGGTAGGTAGGGGTAGGCTAGATCGAAGTTGTGTAGCGACAGCTATTTTCTCCTTAATCGATAATTATTGACATTTATTGGAATTAATCTCTAGCAGCAAGTCCTTAAATTGTACATAGAGTTTATCGAATAGCCTATGCAGATGTAATATATTTTAATTTTAGAATAAAACATATATCTTAAGTAGGAAAGCAAAATTTTTTTTAAAAAAAGGTAGATTTCATCCAAAAATTAGATATTATTAATTTCAGTATTTAGAAACAAATTTATACGAATTATATCCGAAGTGTATCACTTCTTCAAGGATTCTCAACTTAAATTTTATCAGATTTATGTTTTATGCTATTATATATTAATTATTCTTATTAATTAATTATTAATTAAGTGGAAAAATCAATTAGATGAAAACATTTAATGCTAATAAAGTAAACCTATAGCAAAGTTGATTATTTTCTAATTATACATTGATTGTAGTTTAAAACAATCTTAAGCAATCTCGATTGATCGATTGCATACCGAATGTATTTCCTTTTTGAATATTATTTAATGATTTGTTTTTATTTAAATTATATATTTGCAACCCTCAAAGTAAGCCAGAACAAAGAAAAGTCGGACATTAGTCCGAAATTAGGGTATAAGCAAAGACAATATATGTGTGTGGTCTTTGTGTAAATGTTTGTTTGAACGCATTGATCACGGAATATATGAATGCTGCTTGAACTTTAATGTCTGTTTATATTCGCATAAAACGTTGTAAAAATGTTTCACTATTTGGATATCCCCATCCGTCCCTCCTAAAATAAAAAACAACAAATTTTCTTATGTTAGAGCTCATTTGAGCCCTAGATAATTCATAATCATCCAAGTGTTTGGTGAAGGGAAGTCGGGCACACCCGACTAGAGCACTCGTAATTGTTTAAATATTAAATGAATGCATTTCGATCCTAGTACTCTGTGGGCAATATGGACGCGACGCAACTCACCGAGCTGATGGGCAGTCATGATTTCATGCAGCTGCAGCAGCAGTTGCAGCACAACAACAACAACTACAACACCGATGGCCACAATGGATTATCGCCGGAATCGGTGGAGCGCAGCTCAAGGCCCGTGCGACGCGCGACGCGACGCACCTCACAGGTAAGCGGCAAGGCAAAGAATGGCGAGCAGAGGTGGTACAAAGCAATCGATTCTGTTGTCCACAGCTAAGCAATAACACCTACGACCTGGAGATGACCGACTCCAGTTCGCAGAGCGACGACACCAGCGGCGGCGGCGGCAGCAGCAACGGCGGCGGCAGCAGCACCAACAACAACAGCAACCAGCTGGGCTGCGCCCAGGGCGGACAGCGGCCGTCGAGCCGCGGGCGGCAGCAGAACGCCGCCGGCGCCAGCCTAACGCCCAACAGCAGCGCCAACAATAGCAACAATAACAACAACAATCGGCGGCGGAAGGGGGCGCTGAATGCGAAGGAGCGAAATCTGCGACGTTTGGAGTCGAACGAGCGGGAGCGCATGCGCATGCACAGCCTGAACGATGCGTTTCAGTCGCTGCGCGAGGTCATTCCCCATGTGGAGATGGAGCGACGGCTCTCCAAGATTGAGACACTCACGCTGGCCAAGAATTACATTATCAATCTGACGCACATTATACTCTCCAAGCGCAACGAAGAGGCCGCCGCCATGGAGCTAAATGCGGGCGCTGTGGGCGGCGTCCTGCTCACAGGCCTGACGGCCGAGCCAAATGGTAATAATGGCGGTGGTGCGTCTAATGGCGCCACCAATGGTCTGTGCTTCGAGGATGCCCTGGCCAGCGGTGGAGCCTATGACTGTGCTCTGCTGGCTGCCAGCGATGTTAGTCTATTGAGTGCGGCAACTGTTGCGGCCACGCCCACAATGCAAACACTGCAGCCGCCGCCGCCGATGCATATGCATGCACAGCCGCAAGTGGATCAGCAGGCGCAACAGCATCTGCCGCATCATCATCATCCACAACAGCAGCAGCAGCAGCAGCAACAGCAGCAGCCGCACGGGCAGCAGCAACTGTTGCATGCTCACGCGCATTTGGGCGCCAACATGTTGCTGCCACAACAGCAGCAGCAGCAGCAACAGCAGCAACAGCAGCAACAGCAGCAGCCGCAGCAACAGTCGCAACAGCCAACGCTTATACTCAATGGCGGCACCACATTAACGGTGGGTGGCGTCGCTGTCGCTGTGGGCGGTGCGGCGGGCGGCGGCGTTTTTCCAGATGTCAATGATAATTTCGATGAGCCCTTTCGAGAGTTTCTCTAAGCATCGATTGGGCTTCTTCTGATGGTCTGTGGTAACGTGAATATAAGTACACAAATAGAATTTATAGCACAAATGCAACTGCAAGATGTGGAAGCATGCCGAATTAGAGTGGAAATTATTACTAGAGGATAATATTTCAATGTCCTGATCAGAACTTCCACAAGAAACAAAACCAAAAATTAATTAATTAGAATAAACGCTCATAAATCTAAGTGAATTTCAAAGTTATCTATACTCTACCAAACAGCTTAGCTTCAAAGGGCAGCACCTCTCATTGAATTCAATAAATATGAAAACCCATTTTCGCAAGTTATAGTCAACGTTAGCATGCACTTTAACATGCTGTCAGCGAATGTTTTTCAATTTAAACGTTATATTTTCGCAGCGCTTGTTAAAATCAAAATGCACTTTAAAATATAACCTGACTGTCAAAATCGAACAAGTAACATTTAAATTATTGTAAATTATTTGACTTTTCTTATTATCTTATTTACTAATTTACCAATCTAAAGCAAACAGGCATTTGTTAAGAGTTGCCATCTCTTTGCATTGCACATCTGGCAACACTTCACTGATAAATATCAAATTTCCATACAGATTTCAAATGCAAATTAACACCGCCTTTAGATTCTCTTTCTCCACAAAATTTTATCTTCAATACAAAAAGTTAAACCAAACATATATTTTTTATAAATTTGAACAGTTTTATAAACAAATTTGATTGCAGATCTTAAAAACCATTTAAGAACTTGAACCAAACGAACAAAATTTTCCAAAATTATACAAAAATGTTATTTGAAGGCATTTAAAATGACAATGACAATCTATTTAGTAAAATTTGATCGTTTAGTTGAGAAAATGAGGGAATTGAACGCTGCTTAACTTTCAAAATTTTCAGAAAATATGCCTAAAATAAGGAAATCAAAATTATTCCAGAATTTATTAGAGTTATATTGGTCAATTTTTAAAAGAAAAGAGAGTTAAAAAATTATGTTTGCTTAGCCTCAAAACCTATACGTTTAAATTTAATACCTTGTTGTTTTCGTCTTTCCTTTTTGTTTTTAACAAAAAAAAAATTGTATATAAAAAAAACTAAAGCCGACTGTTGTGGTGCAAATTTCAAGTACATACGCAATTATTCAAAGTTGTTAATATACATATTTACATACGCATAGTTATTAAAGCTTAGAAATAACATAATATTTACGAATGTAGTTCAGATTAAAGGCGCTGCAGAAACGGACGAATGAAACACGAATTAACGACAAAAGCAAATCAAACGAAACGCTTGAATGAACAGCTAAATTTATTAGCTGACAAGTCGAAAGGCGCGAGGAAATTCAATATCTCGTATAAATATATAAATACATACATATATGTATATATATTAAGTACATATACAATTGGCAGCAATAGCAGCAACAAAGACGCAGCATCAATTAACGTAAAATAACGGTACTGGGACTTAAGTAGATGCTGATGGCAAATATGGCGACCCGATGCGACGCCAGGAACAGCAAGTGACGCGTCGTCGCTTAGTTAATTTACCACCCATGATCTTTTAATGCACTTGAAATTTAGTGTTGTTGTAATGGCTGGCACTGGCGGGGGGGCATGCGGCATGTGGTGCGGGGCACGGGCCGTGTGGCAACAAAACAATTAACACACAAAACCGTTGAAAAGGCGCATTCAAACTGACACACTTCCGTTAGACCGTTAGCGACCTTTGGTACGCTCTTAGGTTAGAAAGAGATGGCACACGGTGACGTGCGTACGGTAAACAGTAATAAAATAACGTTACCCTATGGGTGGTTTGCGTGTGTGTGTGTGTGTGTGTGCTGTTCGTGTGCGTGTGCGATTGTGGGTGTGTGCGTGGATTGGACTTAGCAATAATTAAGTGAAAAATAGTAGTTAGGGGTGGCTATTTGTTCGCGTGGGTGTCAACTTAAGCTTGTTGATTATGTTTGATTAGTCAAGATTTAGCAAGTTAACTAGGGGTTTACAGTTCTAGTGCTAGCGGAGGGCTCAAATGCGCAAATTTAAACCAATACAACATCAAATGATATACAGTTCGGCTCTTCGAGATCGAATTCTATTCAAATAGATATAAGCTAAGACAAAAGGTTAACGATATTTATTCGTAGTGTTAATTTTTAGCAAGCTGAAACGAAACGAAAACAGGGTTGCATTTGGCTTGTAGATAAAAACCCTCTTAACGAGTTATTCTAGTCAAATTCAGTATAACGCATACGAAACCTTTGAAATTGCAATATAGGCGAGTAGTTTAGTTGTGTAGAGAATTATTAAGCTAATGTTATCATACGATGCACGTCTATCAAAATATTTAAATATTGTATAAATTGTAAAAGAATACTTAAACATCTATTAGTCTCAATGTACATAAAGTTAAGTCTGGTCTAAACATAATGAGCATTTGGTGTGTACAAGCAACAATGAAAAAAAACAAGTACTCGTCTGTACATAAATATATACATATACATATATACTTGTAAGTATGTGCATATATTGGCACGTTTATGTAGCAACACTGTATAGAGCATTAAAGATATCTAACTGCGCCGAAAATAAAGTTTATTGAATAAAGTCAAAAACTATTAAATAATCTATTTATTTCAATTGTGCAGACACTTTTTCATCAAAGGTAAGTTCCATAGAAGGCAGAATCTACGTACCGTAATATCGCAAAGATTACTCTCAGCGGAGAGAGACATCTCTTATTGTTTTTGTTGAGATCTTTTGCATGTTTCCATCACACCATTGCATCATATTAAACCAGAGCTTTGTTTTTAATATTGAGCTTATATTCAAAAATTTTACGTATTCCTTTTCCAATCAAACTTTAAGCTTTACACTAACACACAACAAAATAAACAAATTTATAAATTATTAATAATCAATTGGCTTGCGGTTTGGCCGCCGGCAAATAGAAACTATCGCCATGTTTTTAAATATCGTGAAGAGCTGTAGCGCTGCCACACAGTTAAAAAGAGTACAAGCTTAACGACACTCGCAGCAGGCATGCGGTATTCGAGCTACTCACTAAAGCTTATCGGTAGCCGCCACAGCTTGAATTTCAAAATAGATAAACTGATTACATCTTTAAATGAGCAGCGCAAATGTTTCTTTTCTCTTTTGAACATGGTGTTGTACTCTATTGCAATTATTATCTATTGTAATGAAACGGTAATTGCACATCTTAACAAGTTTTGAAGTGTTATCGAGCATGTGACGTCACGCGCGCTCACACAATCTCTCTCTCTCTCAGTGTATGCCTCTTTGTAGTTCATAGGCAAGCCGAGTAACGGACCTGCGCTATGCGCTCCACAACAATAACCAAAACAAGATTTTGTGTTTGCGTTTGCATTGTGTTTTTGCGCCTTGCGACAAAAACATCGCTAGCTAAGCCAACGGCTGAAGAAAAATCAAGCATTTTCAAAAAATATACAACAAGTAAATTGTGATTAGTTAATTGCAAGCCAAAGTGAGTATAAAAAGTTAATAACAAATTTTGTGCGTAGATAAGAAGAGTGCAATTAGAATAAGTGTGTTTGCCTGCGCTTATGTGTGTGTCTGGAGAATTAGGTGAAGCGCAGAGGTGGGCTGGCAGAGTGCAGTTATTTCTTCTTTTCAGGTTCACTGCCTGCTTCCGTTCTACTTAGCTGGTCTTTTGTTTGATGCTCCTCTTTTATTTTCTCAAGACGCTGTGAGATTCATTTGAGTCTGTACACACGTACATAGATATGTATGTATGTATATGGATATGTGTGAACCTATGGCAAACAAGTTATATTAAGAACACAGGAACGTGCAGGTAAAAAAAAAAACAAAAACAGAAGCGACCAATAGTTGCATGTTTTTGTTTGATGCTGATCAAAAATTCCTGTACACGCATACAGATGTATTTGTATTTACATACAAAAATACATACATACATACATGTTGTATGTTTTTGGTATGCGTTTGCATTTGCCGCTTGAGTTCGTTACAGTTTGTTAACCTCTCGTGGCTGCCGCTGCAATTGGCATTTGGTCACACTGTGCTCCATTTTTGTGTTGTTGCAATTTTACAGTTGTTAACACTTTCGTCTATTACGTTTTAACTTAAAATCTAATCAAAAGCTCCCACTCACACACACACCCATATCACAACGGTCAGCTTGGGGGCAACTGTTTAATGCCCGTTAGCCATGTCTATAGCTAAATTTCCGGAATTAGCTGATGGCACGCAACACAAGTGTGTTGTTATGCTCATGCACACATGCACACATGCATGTATGCATGTATATTTGTATGATTGTTATGTGTATGTGCGTATAATTGCCCCAACATCGCAGCCCACTGACCCCATCAACGTCTCCCATTTGGCTCGAAACGCGACCACATAAAATATTCTACAGTGTGTCAAGAACTGATTAATTTGCATTGTGCAACTCTATTTCTGAAATCCCGTATTGTCAGCGAGGTAGCGGAAATCGTGTCGCCTGGGATATAAATCTTTTACAGTTGTATATATGTGTATGGTTTTTTTTTGTTCGAAAATTAATAAGCTGATAACTCTTATTATACTCTAATGATACTCTAATTATATCAGAGCTTCATTAATATCTACTTGCTGCTTAGATACATGTAGCTTCTAACTCTCAGCTAATGTTTTGTCGCATTTTCTATCTGACTATGCAGAGAGAACAGTTTTACTTTCTCAGGCTTACATTTGTTTGATTATTATAAATAGTCTTATGTCATAGGCCAATCCGTTTTGCGTCACACTCTTATCAAAATAAAAAACTGAAATGTAGAGCACATGTTTGGCAGTCCCAAATCAACGGTACAGTCACTCCACGTCCTCTACAGCTATTGACGAGGCATTTCTATTGTCCTGTTTACCTGCGTCAGTTGCGGCAGGTGAACAGCTGAACCTTTTCACTTCCAGTTCTTTTTTAGAACTAATTCAATCAATCCACCCAAATGTCCAGCGTTATTAACTACTTCACCACCCTCCGCTGACACAGTTTCAAGGCGATCGATTCAGTTACGACTTTCGCTGCGATATTTTGTTTATTCATGTTGCACAGTGGGAAATTATGCCTATTGCGTTGACCAATTAATTGGAGCTGTGACCTATTCCAATTGAAGAGTTCAAATGAAGGGGTTCTTTAGACAAAACTTGCATTCTTAACTAATAAAATGCTAAAGGCCAACGGTGAACATGACGATATTATAATTAGGTACACATGTACATAATATGTATTTAGTACATATAAAAGAGCGCAGAAAATATAACAAAAACTTGCAATAATGCCTTTAACTGACAACAAAATTATGTTTAGGGGTTAATGTCAATATTTCAGAAATATACATTAGACAATCATGTCTAGAATTGAAACCTTCATCAATTGGAATTATCCACAAATTTCAATAGAGCAGAGATTGCATTGAGTTTTAATTATTAAATTTGAAGCCTTTGAAATATATTCATTTCCTACATTTTTTATTATATCTATCGAAATCCTCGTACAATGCTCCATAAATGTAAATTACCAAATTATTCTTTAATATTATTTTAAATTACGATTGGATTTAAACAACGTTTCAGTTCTAGAAAAGTTATTATCGGTTCGAAAATCCTGTTAGGTACAGAAAAAATCGAGACGAAAGAAAAATAATTCTTTTAAGTAAAATATAAGATTTTGATTTAAAGTATTTCTGAGAAATATTTTTCCCTTTTCTCATTTCCTGACTCTTTTAAGTAAAAACTGAACTTTTAGAAGATAATAAAAATAAACTAATTTTAACTCTTTTGAGGCAACAATCTGCCAATTAAGTCCTAAACAGCTGTAGAGACCTCCACGCTGTCTGCATATTCACATCAAGTTGGATCGATTTTTATGACAGTTGCATTCAGAGCCCGTTGCACTGGAAACGGCAACAGCTACCACGTCCTTGCCACCAAAACAATGCACTCAGCTGCAAACGCAAACGCGGCCAACAATTCAATATAATAACAAATAATAATGCCTCAGATCTAGGCCACCCAAAGTGAAAATGGCTAAACACAGGCGGACTCATTTCTATACGGACTTGGCCACTTTTTGCCGTGCAGTGGAACAGGGGTTGTTGTAGGGTTAATCCGCTGCCAGACGACGCTAGACAGGTGTGGCAGGTGGCAGGTGGCAGGTGGCAGGTGGCAGATGGTGGCAAATAGAGACACTTGGACATCGTTTGGGGCGGGCGACGTTGTGGTTTGCGTGTCTGCCACTGATTTGGGGGTTGACTCCACAACTTTCCCATTCGTTTTGTGCGGTTGACCATCTATTGATTATTGTGTGTGGACTGCTATATATTTATTTTATTTTTTGCCTGCCTTGATTAATAATTTCTATATATCCTTGCAGTATCTACACGGTATCCGTTGTAAAAGGTTCTGACCAAAAATGGCATCCGGCGGTTTGACATGTGTCAAATATATCACTTTTTTCTGCAATCTGCTATTTGCGGTAAGTTGGCAACAAAATATGATGGGTTAATCGAACTGTGCTTATCTCTTTATATTGCTTCACAGCTTACGGGTCTACTGATCCTCACGGTGGGCACCATAGTGCAGCTGAATTATGCGCATTATTCAAATTTCGTGAGTGATCACATCTGGACCGCGCCCATTATACTCATGGTTGTCGGCGCGGCAGTCGCATTTATCTGTTTCTTGGGCTGCTGTGGCGCTCTGAAGGAGAACAGCTGCATGATACTGAGCTTTGCTATACTAGCCGTAATAATATTCCTGCTGGAGATTGGCCTTGGCATTGCGGGTTATGTCAAGCACTCGGGCTTGCAGCAGCTGATGGAAACGCAGTTCAATACGACCATGAAGCATTATAAGGAACGTGATGATTATCGTGATGCCTGGACTCTGCTGCAAACCGAACTGGATTGCTGTGGCACCTATGGACCCAACGATTGGGATGGCATTTTTGCCAACAAGACGCTGTCTCCGGCCTGCTGCAAGCTGATCAATCTAAGCGAGGCCAAAGACTGCACCACAATGCATGCCATACAGCAGGGCTGTCTGCAAAAGCTTTTGGGCATACTCGATTCCAAGACTTTGATATTGGCCAGCGTGGTGCTCTCCGTGGCAGGCATACAGGTAAGTCAGCGTGCATTTATTATCTATTTGAAATTCTTGCTAATCTTTGAATGTCCTATTCTGCAGCTGCTCACCATACTCTTTGCCTGCTGTTTGTATCGTTCGTTTCGCCGCAGCTACGATCATGTTTAGGCTGCGCAGCGCGGATCCCATTTATCGATTTTAAAAGACAGCCCTTAGCCTAGTTTGTAGTTTGGTCACATGCATGCGATATAACTCGTTGCCGTCTCTCAAGAAGCTCGCTGATAAGCAGAAGAACAAAAAATAATACACAAAAATACTCAAAAAACAATCATAATCACAATTCATAATTTTCATTTATGTCAATCGATAAACACTCACTGTTAGCCCAAGCATTTCCACTTTAAGTTTAACTTTTTGAAAACTTGTTAATGTTATTCCCTGCTCAGTTGTACTGAGCTCTAAAGATAAGCTATATATCTCAATGGTTTTTACTATTTAAAAACATATTATTTGATTTGTAATCTTTATAATTTTGTACACTTTCCCACTTAAACGCTAAAGAAACGCTCTGTATAAGCATTATGCTTTATTTAAATATATTTCGTTGTATTAGGTAAAATCATGATATTATTTATATTCCGATTTTATACTCATTCCCATTTGCCAATGCATTACGCCACCACACATACTCATATGCATATCAAAACATTATAATATCATATATATAAGTATATACTCTATACTATATACCGACTGGTTCGAAATTCATGCATCATTTCATCATTTTACAAAGTGTCCTTGGAACCATTTTTTATATATGTAGTAATTTTATGGCCTTTTGAATTTTTAAATGTATATGCGTGTGTCTCATTGTGTGTGTGTGTGTGTGGCTCCCCAAAATAAGAACCCACCATTTGCTAATTGTTTTTATATACCCATATAATTAGAACCAATTTATTATATACATATTTACAGAACACTGCATTTTACACACACACGTAAATATATTAGCAACACACATACATACCGATATATATATTTATGTATACAATGAATATCTATGTGACTTGAAATTGTATTGTAAACAAAAAGAAGACAAAACACATTTGGGAGAAGATGATTACATATCTTGGTCAACTCCTGAAAAAACAAAACTGTTTGAATATCGAATTTACAGTTTAAAATCGAACTAATTAAATGATATTAATTAAGAAGCGTGCATATAAAACGCGATTCTCAAAACGACCACACATGAATATTACAATTCAATGTTAGATTATCTGAAATGCAATAACCCATATAAGTAATTGTCTTAAATTGCAAAGCTCAGCACGATTTATTAATATTATTATGCATTTGCGAGTATGTATTTTATAAATGATGTAAGCTGAAACAATTGTGCAGCACTGAAAAACTTAAGAATCAATAAATGAACAATTGAAAACGTACTACAATGAAGTCTAACAAAGTTTATTTTTCAAAAATGAGCCAATTAAAATCGAGATTTGCGGTTTTATGGGGTAAAATTGATTTAATTTGCATATGTTAATAATTTGAGAATGATACAGATAATATCAAGCAAATATTTATATATTGTCTGATCGTTTCTTAGTCCGATATAAATGTACTTGAGTCAGTTTCTTTGCTTTTAATTTTTTTGTATATAAATATAAGAGGATTTCATTTAACAATGCAAAAAAGGAAGATAACTAACATTTTATAAAGGAATAAAGTTTAATGTACGGGAATTTCATTTTATAATGAAAAAATACTACCAACGAAAATTTAATAAAAGTTTGTGTTCTTACATTTTATTAAATTATAATTAACACACCTTTAAATAACTTTAAAGGTATTTTTGAAGCATTCGTTAAAGCACGTAAAATTATACAAAGAAATCAATTTTGTAGCCGTGACTTAGTTAACTATGAAAGTATAAAACCCCGTATGAAAGATCAAAGGCAAAGTTTTTCGTTTTGGACACTAACAAATTATAAAAATGTTCTCAGCTCTTTTTTTTTAATGATGGTACATTTTTACCAAGGCAAATGTGTTTTATAGACAAACCTAATCATCCATTTGAGAGATTAGTTTTCTCTGTTTCCTGATCAGTAACATATGCATGCCCCAGAAGGTGGCTAATATTGTACTCCCTTAACGTGTAACCCCTTGGAAAGTGGTTGTCCCTAACGATTTGATATGTTGTTTGTTCAATAAAAAATAATAAGCAAACGTAACAAGCGCCGTCAACTACGCCAACGAATTCGTTAGACACATTGCATCAAATATTAGGAATCGAGTTGCGTAAACAGCGCATAGTTTTAAATCTAAATATAATAATAACTATATCTATATACATATAGTTATATTGATAATAATGTCACAAGCTGTGGGCGCTGTAGCGCCGCGCAAGGAAGTAACCGGCTTGCATCGCATGACACAGAAGGGCCTTAGAGATCTGTGCAAGAAGGACAAGCTATATCAGACGCCGCGTCTTAACGACGTCCTCTATTTGCACTATCAGGGTAAAAACTGAATGAACAGCTGAGTTTACTAAACTGGTAATAATTAGTAATTAACAATTTACAGGCTATCAATATATCGAATGCTTGGATGAGTACACTGAACTCAAGTGCCTGTGGCTGGAGTGCAATGCCATATCGGAAATCGAGGGTCTGGACAAACAGAGCAAACTCAAATGTCTCTTTCTTCAAAACAATCTTATCAAACGCATCGAGAATTTGGCCTCGTGTCCCGAATTGGACACACTGAACCTCAGCTCAAATCATATACGCCTGATTGAGAACATTGGCTCCGATATATTGCCCGTTCTGAATACACTTAATATATCGTCCAACTATTTAAAGGACAGCGAAAGTCTGGCCCATTTGGTCGACTGTAAGACTTTGGCCGTGCTGGATTTGTCAAATAATCGCATTGATGACATACTGGTTGTTAAGATCTTTGAAAAGATGCCCTGCCTGAAAGTTTTGGTGCTGCAGGGCAATCCTGTCGTATCACGTTTGCCGCAATATCGCAAGACCCTGATTTTAGCCTGTGTGAGTATGAAAAGGAAAAACTAATACAGTTGGCAGACGTATTATGATATATGCTATATAATATCTATATCAGCTAAATGATAAAGTGGTCTGAGAATCATTAGATTTGGCTTATTTGTTATTAATATACCAAAGCTTGTAATTCGCAACTGGTTAAAGCCTCGTTTACCAGGCTTTAAAGACTTACTGCTCATTATTTGTTTTTAATAAAAGTAAAACATATTTATCTAATAAATCAAAAGGCCAAATAAAGTTGCCCAAGTTTGTGGGATATAAAAATTCCGGTGCAACGGAGAAAAAAATCTTCTAAATGAATTTAAATACAATTTTTTAAAATTCCTGTATTCTATCACTCGTAGAAGGAACTAACCTACTTGGACAGTCGACCTGTATTCCCACGTGATCGCGCTTGTGCCGAGGCCTGGTAAAAAAAAAAGACTAAAACATGTTTTATATACAATCTACATAAACATTTCTGAACCTTAGGAAACGTGAAGGCTATGAGGGTGAACGCAAGGAAAATATGCGCTGGAATCGCGCAGATCGCAAGAAAATGCGTGACAGCGTAAACTGTAAGTTCTTGTATTTACCGTAAGATCTATTTAATAAGCCCCTTTCCCCCTTCTTAGATACCATCAAACTGCGCAATCGTCATCGCCCGGCGGATCAGCAAGATGCATTGATAAGTTCAACAGATTCAGAAACGGAACAGGAAGCCGACAAGGGAGCGGAAAAGACACGTGTGAAAGCCGCGCTAGAATATGGCTGCGTGGATGATATGTGGAGTGAAGTATCTGGTGACAATAAAGACAACGATAGCTCCGGTACATCGGGCACAGCTGATGAAGCCAGCAACGGTTCGCAAGCAGACGATATAGCTGAACAGTTGAGCAATCGTCAGGCAAAGCCGTTGGAGGGACGCCCAAAGGTGCTGCATGAATCACAGCTTGCTGATGCGCCACATCCAGAGGAGCAACTGGAGGTGGAGGTTCCCCAAAGGGACGATCAGGAGACACGAACAGGCAAACGTATATACATAGAGGAAGTTAAACTAGACGAACTAGATGTGGAACGTAAGAGAGCAAGGCTACAGGAGGAGGAAACGACAAAAGTAGAGAACAAAAATGATGATCCAAAGCTTGAAGAAACCAAAGTGGACGCAAAACCAACTGAGCTGGAGGAAGCAGTAAAGGAAGAACAGGAAAACAGCGCAAACAACGAAGTGGAAGCTAAGGAATTACCGGAGCTCATTAATGAACCAGAAAGCGGCTCTGAACTGGATCAAAACAGCGCGGCGGATCTAGAGAAATCGAGCGAGAAATTAGGCGCCATAGCTTCAAACAATGCTGGCGAACCGTCAGCCGAGCAAATCAAACAGGAATGTATAGACCGAATGTACGAGTCCTATGGTACGGAAATATTTGCAGAACAGCCCGAGTTCAGCGCGACAATGCTGGAGAAGGGAAACCCCAATAATGAACTCGAGTCTAAACTAGACCCTGAGGAAATGCCCAAGTTGCGGTCGGAGGTTGTGAATAATGTAGTCAAGACCAAGGAACAATTGGAATATGAAGAGGAATGCGTCGAGGCAAATGGTATAGTGGAATATAATATAGAAGAGCTCAGTAGCCAATTGGACGAGGACTTGGAAGAGCTGCGGCAGCCGCTTGATCAACTGCGAGGCACGCCGGAATATCAAGCTAGGGAAACAAATAGCAGTTCCGACGAGGAGAAAGAAACGGATAAGAAGAAGTGCATTGAATTGACAACTGTGACACGTTCTCTACGCATAATAGAGGAGTTTAGCGTGCGCAGGGAACGCATATGTGAGGACATGAAGGATCAAGAGAAAAGAGCTCAGGACGAGCATGAAAACAAAGTGCTAATAGAAGAGATGGAAACAGAGCAAATTGAAACAGAGCTAGATGAAATGGATGCTGCCTTTGCCAAGGCACTGGATGAATGTACAGATGATGTGCCTAGGCGTGTTTTTGGAGCTGGCTGCGATACGCCCAGCTATGAATGGCGTAAGGAGGAATGCCTGCGTCAATTAACAATCAAAGAGACCCGTTCAGTGGTCAACGAGGATGAGTACCAGATTGAATTACTGAGTGCGGAAACAAGCCACGCACAGGCTGAGTTAATTTGTGAGGAGATGAGTAAAAAACTGGCGGCGGATGAGGCATCGTTACGCGAGCTATTGCAGGAGCTGGAGGACGAGGCAGATGTCCTGTACGACATCACGAGCACCTTGGATGAAGAAAACTTTACCAAGGCACCGGAGCCACCCGTTGAGGAGGTGTGTGCCGCGCTCATTGATGAGCTTATCGACGAGCTGCAGTATCAGGAGATTATCAAGGGACAGAATATTAAATGCTTCGATTTCGGACTAATTGAATCGGATGAGGAGTATAGCTATTCGGCAGAGCCCAAGACTGAGAAGCAAATGCCGCCGGAGCTGGAGGATCCGGCGAGCGGCAAGTCGCTGCGCGAATGCATAGACGCTTTTGGCGATTTTCTTAGCTCGGTCAGCGAGCGCAAAAAGCTGGGGAAATTGGATAGGAAAGCCACAAGCAGCTCGGACAAGGTGCAAGCAGCCAAAGAACTGCTCAAGTCTAGAATGCTAACGTCCTACAAAGAGGAGAGTCCCGCGGAGCTAGATGCCGAACTGGCCAAGCTAGAGGAGAAAACCAAACGTCGCGTGGCGGCCATGGCAACGCGTTGTTTTGCCAAGCGCGAAGACTACGAGGACACACTCGACGTGGTGGACAACAAGCTGGTGATTGTGAAAAAGGATACAGGCAACGTAGAGGATCTGCCCCCACCGCCAGCGCTCATCAGTGACAGCGAGAGTGACAGCGAGGGCGAGTGTTCCGATGGAGACGATGGAGATGATGCCTATGATACCGCCGAGGAAACTAACGGAGCCACAACTTCTCGCAGCATGTGGCCAAAAGCTGAACCAGAGCCAATGCGAACAAATGAAGAGCTAACTGTGGTCGAGCGCAGGGATGAGGATAGTGTGGTCGATCAGTCCATTGATGAATTCTACTCGCTTGAGGCAAGAGCCGCCTTCAACTCACTGGACTCGGAGTTCCTGGAGAAACTGGATCTGCAAAAGGTGATTGGCAGTGATGGCGAGATAACAGTGGAGGGCATGCGCAGCTACGACGAACTAAGGGCTGGCCTAAAATCCGAAGACATCCATAAGGAAGAGAATCCAGGTGCACTGGTGAAACAGGATGAAATGCTGAAGGATTTAATCGAACGCAAGCGGCAGCAGGAGGAACGCGAACGTCAGCAAGAAGAGCTGGCGAGTTCGCAGGATTTGGGTGCACTTAAATTGAAAACGAAATCAATTATGGACAAACTGGAAGACGAGATTGAAG